ATCAAATGAATACACATGTATTGATGTTTTTATAGAATATTGGTCTTCATGGTACAAAAGATACTCTTTTGTAAAAATGTCCCAAAGTACACTGGCATTATTTCGAGACATTTTTGATAAATATCACATAAAATTTTAGTATTATTTTTACACTTAGTTACTTACACTAATTACTGTAAAATTATTATTATTAACACTAATATATACAATTGTATTTAGTTCTTATTTTACTAAAATATTGTTATTATTTCACAAAAAGAAAACAAAAATATTAATAAACGCGCCTAAAAAGTAAAAACAAACCGTGTCATTAAACTTAAACACAAGACTAATTTAAACCGGGCCAAGGCCACTTAAATTATGGAATTTGAACAATTTTTTGTTAAAAACATGCACACTTACTTTCTCATTTCTAATATCGCGTTTATACGAAGGGAATAGAGTCATAGGTCAAATGCAAAAGCACCCGCGCTCACTCGACATTCGAGATTTGACGACCGGTGGTACTTCTACCACAGCGTAAAGAGTCGGTTTCTTTACTCATATGCTTCTACTTCAACAGCCGAAGCCGTCGCCGGTGCGTCGCGAAAATAGCCGAATAAACATTTTGATAACAATAATGTTACTGATCGCTCGTTCGTGTTTCGTGAAACGTGAATCGTGTTACTGAGAAAACGTCTACTGTAATAGATAGTTTCGTTGCACTGCAATAACCCGCTAACCGCTATTGTGTGAATAGATAGTTTCAGTAACTCATGTCATGGGGTCATGATCTTAGTGCGTAATGAGTTATGTGCAACTCCCTTAGTCACGAACGGTCTGAATAACTGCTCACCGCCTGATATGTTAATGCTGTTAGTACCGGCACATGCAATTTCTGCTACTGCAGATTTGTACATTATTGCGATTTACATCCCTCCTAATGTTTCACATATGCCAGATGAAATAGATTACTTACTGCAAACACTAAAATCTGTGGTAATCTCAAATAGTACTGGTAAAAATATTTTAGTTATCGGTGATTTTAATCTTCCATGCATCTCATGGAGTACTCAGGGCCCAACACATTTAAATAAAAGGCAATGCTGAAATTAAAAGTGCTGGTGTAAGGTTAACAGATGAACTGAGCTTTCTCGGTCTCAAGCGATATAACAGTTTTAAAAATTATGCCGGTAATACTTTAGATTTGGCATTTTCAAATCTTCCACTTGAAGTCGCAATTTGCAACTCGCCCTTTATAAAGGTTGACCGCGCCCATCTTCCGTTAGAACTGGAAATTTTAGACGTCTCAATCACACCGTTTACTGAAGCATTTTTTTTATAGGATAGGGTGACAAACGAGCACACAGTCCACCTGATGGTAAGTGGTTGCTGTGGCCCACAGACATCTACATCTCTCCTCGATTACGAATCAAAATGCAGATGCGTTGTCACCCGTGAGGACTAAGATGGAATGCCTCGTTTCCAGTAAAAAGGGTCTCCGGTTCTCTGCACTCACCATACAAAATACAGCAGCATTAAGCTACTATTTCACGCTGGTATTCTGTGAGAGCGTGGTCCTTCCCCGGTCGAGCCGACCATTCGTGCTACAACTATACTACTAATATAACTGCAGCATGGCTCTACCACGTATAAAAGCATCTAAGCCTAAATATGATTTCAATAAAACGAATTATGATAAACTAAATGAAACTATAAATAGCAACGATTGGCGAACACAATTACAATCTAGCACGGTCCAAGAGGCTTGTGATAACTTTTATAATATAATAAATGATGCTATATGCCAACACGTACCACTTAAGTCCTATCATAATAAATATAAATACCCTATCTGGTACAGTCCCGCTTTATTAAAAATAATTAAAGAAAAATCAAAAGCACACAAAAAATGGAAACGGTCTGGCAATTTATTAGATTATGACGAGTTTTCATTATTACGTAAACGACAAAATCGGGTTCAGGATGCTTGCTTTGCTATATATATTCAACGTACCGAGGAAGCCATTAAATACAAACCAAGGTTATTCTGGTCATACGTTAAGTCTTTGCGTGGTGGATCGAATTATCCAAAACAATTATCATACCTCGGCAATAAAGTAACGGGTGGTAAAGAAATATGTGATACTTTTAATACTTTTTTCAAAAACGTTTTCGGTGACCCTTCTGATAAAATATTAGAAGAAAGCAATGACACTTCTACATATGATAATATATCTAAACTGTTTATCCCTACATCCACTATTGAGAAAAGACTTAAACTACTTGATATTTCTAAAGGAGCAGAATGTGACGGCATTCCCCCCTTTATTTTGGCGTAACTGTGCTAAAACTTTGTGTGTCCCTATCGCTATCATTTTTAATATGTCTCTTAGCGAAGGTGTATTTCCGGATATATGGAAAAGAGCACACATTGTTCCTGTACATAAAAAGGGAACTAAAACTAAAATTGAAAATTATAGGGGCATTTCAATTTTAAATACTATTGGAAAAGTTTTTGAGAAAACCATTTATGATGTTATATATCCCGTAATATGTAAGGGACTGCCAAAAACTCAACACGGGTTTCTAAGGTATCGTTCTACTATCAATAATCTGGCGTGCTTTTCTAACTATGTTTTGTCTAATATGGATGGAGGCGGTCAGGTAGACGTTGGTCTACACGGACTTCGAAAAAGCTTTCGACCGTGTGGACCATGTCATTTTACTGAATAAACTACAATTGTTAGGCATACATGGAGATTTACTCAGGTGGATAAAATCCTATTTGAGTAACAGATCCCAGGCTGTTGTAATAGGTGGATATAGATCGGACTTTATCAAAATACCAACAGGCATTCCTCAAGGATCACATCTGGGACCTTTACTGTATAACGCTTATATTCACGATATTACTACTTGTTTTAAGTTTTCACAACATTTAATGTACGCCGATGACAAAAAAAATTTTTACAATATCCGTACTGAGCAGGACTGTCATCAAATGCAAACTGATTTAACCGCTTTATCAGCTTATTATACTGCTAACAACATAACAATTAATATTGATAAATGCGAATGTATTAGCTTCACACGTAAAAAAAAACCTATTTCATTCTCCTACAATTTTAACGGTATTCCAATACAAAGAACATCTACTGTTAGAGATTTAGGAGTTCATTTTGACAAGGCTTTTAAAAATCTTGGATTTGTGATGAGAACTTGCAAGCCTTTTAAAGATATTAATACCCTTGAAATTATGTATAATGCTTATGTTCGCAGTATATTAGAATATGCCAGTCCAATTTGGTCTCCCCAATACGCTACTTATAAAAATCGTATAGAACGCATACAGGAAAAATTCATCAATTATCTAAATTATCGTTTTTTCAAATCACCACTTGTAACCTATTAAAATACTTGTCAATCTTATAATTTATTGACACTCGAAAACACACGTAAATTAATGGACGTATGTTTTTTGTATGATATTGTCCGTGGACAAGTAGACTGCCCTGAGTTGGTGGCGAGCATAACATACAAAGTACCGTCGCGTCGTGTTCGCCGTCGGCCGCACCCCTTTATTGCATGTGCCGTTTGCTGGCACCAATTATGCACGTAATGCGCCTATAAACCGAATGCTCAGGACATACAATGAGATCTTTAGTGATATAGATCTCTTTGTTTTTAGTAAACCAGCCTTTAAAGCTAAAGCTCTTAAAATTCTAAATGAGGTGCAAAACGAGTAAATCATTTTGATTTGCTTAATCATGATGATCATCATTACATCCCTTCATAAGTCCACTGCTGAACGTGGACCTCCCCCAGGGAATGCCACAAGGTACGATTCTGAGCCGCATGCGTCCGTCGACTTCCTATATGTCTTACCAGGTCGTTACTCCATCTAGTAGGACTCCCTACACAAAAATAAATAAATAGTAATGAACATAAATTAACTCTATTATAATATGAAAATGAATTCATACTTTGCATCATTTAGTATAATCATTTCTTACTTGAGTGTAAATCTGACATAAGTGTAACGGTTTAGAAAAATAAATAAATAAACAGGTGTGATATTTCATATTTCATTAAATTAAATTACATAAAAGAATGTTCTGCACTGGCTGCATGTAAAAGTTTTGCAGAGAAATAAATAAAACAAATATTACTTCTACATACACATATACAAAAGTGTAATTAGTATAAACATTTAGTTACATATCTGTTAACATATATATATATATATATATATATATATATATATATATATATATATATATATAAAAAAAATATATAATTGGATTAGTACATACATATTATAATAAATCGAAATATATTTTGTACCGTCCATAATATATTTTGTTTATATAACTGAAAAAACTTTTAATAGGCCTTACATTTAAGCTGTATACTTTAAGTCCTTAAAATTGTTAAATCGCTGTTGGTTTTTTTTTAAATAAAAAAAAACTAGTTACGTTTTGTAACGACCACTCCTAGTCGCCAGTCGCAATATCAAAGTGCGGGGCTGCTGGGCATCAGAGATGGGCTTAAACGTTAAAAAATAATAACTCTGCTAAATGCTGCTAGAAATAATTAACAGTTAAAATTAGCAGTTATTTTTAGCAACTATTAAATTTAGTCACAGACAGATTTTTAACACATAATTCTCATTTCCTTCATACTTTTCACAGGCTTAGGACTGTCAACTTTTTCTGTTGGCGTATTTATAATGAGAATCAATTTATTTACAGCGATTTCTTTTTTTCATATCTGCTTTTTTAGTATTCGTAATTTTTATATAATTATCTTTTTTTCTTGTTTTTTTTTTAATATTTTTTTTTCTTATATCTACTTATCACTTAGTAACATAACATATCTTAAAATTTTATATACTTTTTATTTCCATTTAAAAATGATAATTGTTTGACTTTTCGGACTCCAAGGCGAGTTCTTCGTTGTGAAATTATGTAACCAGTTCGCGAAAAAAGTCTTTCGCAAGAAACAGAAGTACAAAGTACATTACATTTGTTTCGAACCAACTTATCCAAATGTGGAAAAATGTCTTGGTTATGCTTCCACCAGCTGAACGGTAAATTATAGCGACTAATCACTTTTTCATTCAAATATTTGTCTATTTCTATTATTGCTCGAGCAGTTGGTGACACAATTAATTGCGGTACAGCCTCCCTAGCATCCCAGTCGTAAAATATTGAGGTGGGATCAAACGAACTTTTGCTAACTTCAATATTTTCACATGGTCCTTCGCGATTTATTTCTTGAGCGGCAAGTTTGATCATGTTCTCCCTCAAAGTTGCTTGCTTTGAAGATGTTAAGGGCTGTAACTTAAAGCGGGGATCCAAAAAAGTAGCTACGCCAATCGTGTTATTATTTTCTATATTTTCGAAACGACTATGAGTTAAATCTAACAAAGCTCGAACAAAATCATATGTTATTGGCAGATAGTGATAACCGGAAGAATCCGAGCTTAAAATATCGCTGAGAACTCTCTTTATGTCTTTTATGATTATTAATAGTTGACTGGCCGTCAAATACTTTTCACCACTCAGATAATTTGATGCTTCTTCAAAACATTTCAGGGCTTTACAAGTTTCGTTGCAAAGTAACCAGTCTTCCGGCATTAAATTTGTTAAGCTTGTAACACCCAAAATGGCAATGGATGACTTGACGGCATCTTGAATTTTTACGATCCTTTCGAGCATGTAGAATTTGGAATTCCACCTTGTCGGGACTTCTTGAAGCAGTCATTTTGGCTGTGTTGCTCCATTTTGCTTTTGAAACTCATCAAGTTTTTGAGTGGCTTTAGTGCTTCGCTTGAAATAAGCGACGACGAGCTTCACACGTTCAATCACAGACTTGATGGGTACAGATTTTTCCGTCGCTTCTTGCACTATCAAATTTATTGTGTGTGCTGCACATCCGAAATGTTTCCACCCTAGCTCCTGTGATATGGCTTTCTTGATGTAAGCCGCGTTATCAGAAACAGCTAAATTGATTTTAGCTGAAATACCCCAAGAATCGGTAATACTTTTTAACTGAGATGCTGTATTTTCACTATTGGAAGGACCCGAAATTACTTCACAGTCCAAAATAATCGATTCCAAATCAAAATTTTTATTTATAAAATGCCCAGTAACAGCCATAAAACTGTCATTTCTCGCCGAAGTCCAATTGTCAGTCGTAATGCAGATTGTTTCGACTTCTTTATTTATTACTTCTTGCACCTCTGTTCTACACTGTTCGTACATTGTTGATAAAAGTGTATTTGATAGATATTTTCGAGATGGAAGCGTGTATGACGAATTTAAAGCATTTGAGTATTGGATAAAACCAACGTCTTCTACTATTGAAAATGGTTGAAATTCAAGTATGAAAAGCTGCATTAAATAATAATTGAGTCGTTGTTTCTCTTTTAAAGTCATTTTTTTACTGTATAAGATGATACACTTGGTTGAATTTTTCTCTGCTTTGCTGGTGGTGGCAAAAACTCATCATTAGTACCCGAAGAACTTGAAGTACTGGGGGCATTTTCAGTAATAGGAATAGTCTGTTGAGAACTAACGGAACACTCAGACTCATATAATGTACAAACACTTTGTTGTTGTGCCTGTTGGATATTAATAGTAGGATGCTTGAACTTCATGTGAGATTTTAAATTTGAAACTGAGCTCTTGTATGAAATAGTTTTTTTACACAAATTACACGTACCAATTTTTTTTAGGGTATCGCTATCCGTAAAAAAGTTCCATATTTCACTTTTTTTTGGCGTTGTATATCCATTTTAGTTGTTTTCTTCCAATTTGTAAATATTCTGTTTCAAACGCAAACGACACTACACAAACAGTCAAACAATTGGAATTTTCACTCACAACACTAACTACCTACCTACTACCTAGATAACAAACTCGCGTAAACCTTCGTAACGAAAATCAGTCTTTATTTAACACTAGTTAAATATTATAATAAATTATTTCCAAATTCAGCAGTTAGCACTTAGCAGTTAATTAAATGAACTCGCTCGACCTTAACATTCTAACTGTGACTGAAAACTAAATACAAAATTAGTAGTTGCTAAATAAATCGCTATGTTGAAAACAATTCAATAGAGACGGAAACGGAACACGTGCGTCGTGTGTCCTTTTTTTTACTTTAGTACTTACTCTTAATGGGTGCGTTTGGCAGAAAAAAGCGCTAGCAAGCGCTTACAAGCGCTGAAATAGTTTTCGGCCAGGACACGATTACTACTTCAGTAGCGCTGACACAATCCGCCATTTTGCTTATTTAATTTGTTTGTTTTGAAATAGAGTTTATAAGTTGTTTTGTGCAGTATTAGTTTTAAGTAATATAATAACGTGAATAAACATATACATGTTATTAAAAATTCATGATTGGTAAGTTTTTAATATGAATACTTTACAAACATATATTTAAATTAGGTTAGGTTCCTCGGTTAAAACTAACATCGTGTCCTGGAGGAAAATAGCTACTTACGATTTGACAGCGTTTACCGCTTACGATCGCCATTTTGCTTATAAGCGCTTGCTAGCGCTTTTTTCTGCCAAACGCACCCATTAGTTTGTGTTTTTTTGTTGTTGCCGTCGCGTCTACCTGCGGTCTGCAGTAGTGGGATAAAGCGAGACAAATATACATATATCCGGCGTCCGTGTTTGGTGCGGATGGGAGCACTGTCCATGTCCAGCCAGCAAGACCATTATTGTTTTGTTGTGAGTTGTGACTGCTAAATTTAACAGCAATCTCAGAACTTATTTAACAGGTGTTGACACTAAAAAAATGTAGCAGTGTTAATTTAGCATCTTATTAATTTTAGACCCATCTCACAGAGTACTTTTTTATATATAGGAAACCCATCTGTACTGGGCATTATATCCGATAGGAGTAATAGTTATCTATGGTAATAGTGTTCTGCACAAAAAAGTTGTGTACAAGTGTTCTGTGGGCATTATACCCCAAGCCCAAGTTACTCATCGTTGAAAATTTTTCAAACTGTGAAGTTATTACATTTTAAAAACATTGTAAAAGTGCATACAAATAAAAAATTAAGAATTATAAGGATATTCAGAGGTTTTTCGTAAATTGTCAGTGTAAACTACGAAAATGAGTGATCGTAGTCGTAGTGCAGAAAATGAGCATATGGCGTCAGGGGAGAAAAAAGATCTTATGAAACCTACACTTCTTCATTATCTTCCTAGGACGAAGACACGGTGCTACCACGTAACAAGCGCCCCAAGGGATCTCGCGGAGAAAAATCTATTTCTCCCAATTTTGACCCACGTGTTTAGACCCTATAATGTCACAGGTAAGTTGGAACCACCTAATGCAATTGCCGCAACCATCGACATCTAATACTGGCAATTTTAATAGTACTGAGCGCTCTTTGGTCCCACCAGTATCTATATCATGCGTTGATGTAGGTGAATTTACCACAGAAGTAAAAAATATAAAAATGTGTTCAGTACACATTTTAGCTACTATTAACACCCTCGTGGTTATCGTGGTTATTTTATTACAAACCACCGATAAATAGGAGCCCCGCGTAACATAACATCGTACAATTCGTTTTTCGTTAGCGTAACGACGTAAAGTAAAGATAATTAACGATTTTTCTCGGTATTTCTGCTGTAGAGACTTGCGTTTATCTTTGTTACGGTCAGCGATTTTTTCATTATTATTTAACGATCGGTAGTGTGCAATATGGCGTCTATCTATGTGGAGACTGCAGGCACTGGAAGCGTTGCTACCCTTAATTCAATCTTTGGGAGGTACATAAGTATGGCTTAACACCCCATCTTGTATGAAAGAAAAAAAACTTGTGTCATGAACTCTTATAGACCTCAAGAAGGCCAACATAGACATCTAAACAAAAAACATTATTCTAATAGTAATTATAGGAAGGCAGATATTGAGAAAAAGCCTGACAAGACTATCAAAAAGAAAAACTTCATTACATATAAGAACTTTTTGTTCTGGAATCAGTAAATGACAATAAAAAAAGTTTAAAAGGGGATGTTTGAGATTACTTTAACATCAATAGAAAGAGTTCTATGCAATCATCATCATCATTACTGCCCTTCACAAGTCCACTGCTGAACATAGGCCTCCCCCAAGTAATACCACAAAGCACGGTCCTGAGCCACCTGCATCCATCAACTTCCTGCATGTCTTACCAGGTCGTCACTCCATCTATCCTCATTTCTGAGTATCACGCAGAGAAACTCCGAGCATAGCCCTCTCCGTAGATCGCTGAGCGACCTTGAGCGTCCTCATACGGCCAGCAGTGAAGGACCATGTCTCAGATCCGTAAGTCATCACTGGCAACACGCACTGGTTGTACACTTTAGTTTTCAGAGATTGAGTTATACCTAATGAGAAGATGTGTTGTAATTTCCCGAACGCTGCCCAGCCGAGTTGAATCCGTCGATTAACCTCTCGGTCGAAGTTGGACTTACCTAGTCGGACTATTTGTCCCAGGTAAACATACTCATCAACAACTTCGAGCATAGTGCTCCCAACAACTACGGGCATAGGTGTGACATGGACATAAACATGATCTTTGTTTTGTCCATGTTCATCTTAAGACCTATCTGTTGGGAGACACCATTGAGGTCATTGAGCATAGTGCTAAGGTCCTCTAGTGATTCTGCCATAAGGACTATATCGTCGGCAAATCGAAGGTGAGTGATGTACTTTCCATTGATGTTAATACCGTATCCTTTCCAGTCCAGTAGCTTGAAAATGTCTTCCAATGCAGCGGTGAAGTGTTTCGGGGATATAATGTCACCCTGTGTTACACCTCTCTGCAGTTCGATAGGTTTTGAACTCTGGTTCTGTACTAGGATAACCATCGTAGCTCTACTGTACAAACACTTCAGCACTTCGATATACCGACAGTCAGCTTGGCACCGCTGAAGGGACTGTAGCACCGCCCAGATTTTGACGGAATCAAAGGCTTTCTCATAGTCCACATATGCCATGCAAAGTGGCAGATTGTACTTTTCGGTCGTCTGTACAATCCGCAGCGGGGTATGTATGTGGTCTATGGTACTGAAGCCTTTTCGGAAACCGGCTTGTTCGGTAGGCTAGAAGTCGCCGAGTCTGCGTGCGAGACGATTTGTAAATCAATTCATAATAAAAACTTTGACAGGTCAATATATCCCATTCAAAAGTAAACCCCCACTATACTACTCATCTACCATAATACAGAAATAAAAGGAAATATTAATAAAACCAGAACTTATAAATCTGGGAATCTATTTCCAAGGTCTTAGTTATAAAGAAGGCCGATGGTGGCCTATGGCTTAAACTATAGACATCCGGTACTGTGTACGGTGGTAAGGAGCGGGAGCGTTCAGGGGAAGCTCCCTTCCCTTTCCCCTTTCCTGAAATGTATAGTTTGAGTAAAATTTTTTTTGTAAAATCATAACCTCACTTTTTTACACAGGAATATTGACATAAAGTTACTTCTTCAACGTCATTGGCACTGCGGGAAGTGCAGCCCCTTCGCCCTTGTGTGGCAAATCACAAGCACCCATGCTCGCCTCCGCAGCTTCAGCTTATTGGTCGCCTTAGGAGAGCAGCCTGTGCCACTATGGCTCACTTGGTGGCCTGCGATTTGCTACAGCGGGCAGGGTCTGCTCTCCCTCGTGTCTATGGCTTTAAAAAACACTAGGGGTAGGGCAGACAAGACTATGTTAAGTTGGGGCATGCATATTCAGTTTTTGAACCGATTCGACCCATTGTATCTATAAAGTCAGGTTGCCCTAAACTCTGCTATGATAGTGGTAAATGAATAATGTAATGTGAATTATTATAATTTTGTTTTCTGAAGTACCTCTTGACTGCTCTCCACTGTGATTCAATTTGTTGTACATGAGTCCAAAAATAGTTTATCTGGGTCCGAGTGATTAACTTTTTATGACTGTATCTGTGTTAAAAAAAAACAAATTGATATATTAGCATTTTGCTATATGAAATTTTTAGTGAAATTTATTTTTATCGTAATTAATTCAAAAGGCATTTCTAATATTCAAAAATAGTTTAAAAGGTTTGAGCTTTACTCTGACAAACCTCCTCAATTGAAAATAAAGTTAAAACATCAAGTACCGGATGTCTACTTCATAATTCAAAACGCATTTCGGCATCAAAAACAGTGTAAAAGGTTCACGTTTAACCCTGACAAGCATCCTAAACTGTAAACCCGGCCTGTGGCTAATTTTTGACTTGAGACCTC